TAAATGTAATATTTAAAATAGATAAATTTTCTGAAACTGTTATTTCATTATATGACAAATTGATTCATTTAAATTTATAGAGGTAAAAATGTAACCACTGAGTTCTATAAACTCTCTAACTTATTAAGACAACAACGTTTATAGATATACATCAGAATTGGTTTAGAATCCTAATATAAGCTTATAAATATTATTTCCTAAATAAGTTAGAAGAGAGAAAGAAAGAGAACATATAAAATTTTCTGGTTATATTTTTACCTCGTCCTCTCTTTTTCTCTCTTCCAGCTAAATATACCATTTCATCATATAATATGAAATGAAAATTATAAATGTAATATTTAAAATTGAAAATTGAAAATTAAATTGAAAATTATAAATGTAACATTTAAAATAGAATAGATTGATAAAATTCTTTTTTCATCACATGACAAATTGATAGATTTAACTTTTAAAAGTAAGAATATATATATCTAGGAAATTCTGTAGACTCGAGTTTTTGTTTAAGAAACTAAATTTATATAAATTTACATCAGAATTGATTTAGTTTTTAGAATTTTGATGTAAATTTATAAATGTGTTCTATAAAAATTAGAATCTATAGAATTTTTTAGTTATATTTTTACCCTCCTTTATAGTTAAATATACTATTCTGTCACATAATAAAATGGAAATTAATATAATAAATATAATGTTTAAAACAGATAAGAAAATACACCAAGTTTTTATTTTATTATGTGATCGATTTAATTATCGATTAATGATCGATTTTTTATTATCGATAGATTTAATTCTGAAAATAAGAACATAACCAGAAAATCTGTGGACTCAAACTTATTTAGAAAAAAATGTTTATAAATTTACGTCAAGATTGATTTAATTTTTAAAATCCTGGTATAAATGTATAAATGGTGTGTCCTATACAAGTTAGATTTTACAAAATTCTCTCGTTAAGTTCTTAATTTCACAGTTAAATCTATCAATCTGCATAATAAAATAAAAATTATGTAATGTGTAAAATAGATAATAAAAGAATATAATGTTTAAAAAAATAATAAACTGCATGAAATTTTCATTTTATCATGTAAAATATTGTACGTAATTTATATTGTGTCTACATGAAAATAGATTGTGTATATTCATCATGTAGAAAATACATAAACAATCCACGTAGACAGTATCTTGAAATCTACAACACAACCCTGGCTTTTATCATTGAGAAATATGCGATCGATGCGCGCGCCTAAATGTATGTCCGCGAGAAACGTCAGGATAATGATGAATTATGATAAAATTGATTCCGCGAGTCCAAAGGTATTAGTGGTCCTATGAATTTTCATCAGGATATTGATATTGAGTGTTTTCCACTTTAACACAAGTCGATACCAGCATCATTCTTTGTTATTCATTGAATATGTCATGAAAAAAAAGAGCGATATTCATAATCAGATTTAATATTTAAGATCGGACTATGAGTGCCAGATAAGACGATGCTTGTGGCAAATTGTGTTATGAAATGAAAAGTGCCTGTTATATAGGATGCCTGACAATAACATAAAACTCTAATGTAAATTAAACTAAACAAAAGATTCTTCTATAGGCTGGTACTTACAGACTCTCTGAAGAGACGAGTCGTGACACCCAAGTTACCATGCGAAGAAAGTTCACTGCTGCCCACCGGCACTCCTGATGACGACGCTTCACGTTCAGGAATCTTCTGCCGATCGAAGATGCATGGAAGGATGAACCTCGAACTATCGCGCGACACTTTGCACACACCCGAAACTGATCGTTTCGTGACATGTTCGTCTTCATCGACTACCTCGCGATGTCTCATCGCGAGGGAAACGCGCGACGGTTGTTCTCGACACTCCCGGCGACTCCTCGCGTGTCTCTTCTTCGAGTCGAAATCGCGGGACGAAAATCCGGCTTCCCGATTTGCCGCGTCACTCATTCCGAAATATTCCGCGAGCGTTCGTGTCGCGGTGATTGCGATTCTCGAAACACCGAGCGCGTCACTTCACTCGGCATCTTCGCCACGCAAGACGTGCACTTTGGCGCTGAGTTTTTCGCGATGTTTCGTCGTCATGACGCACAACACTCACTTTTAGAGTTCGCGCCGCTGAACTCCGCCTCGATAGTCGAAAACGAGAAACGCGACGATTTGAATCCGCCGAATTGCTATAATCCAACTCTACCCGGCGTTATTTTATCGGAAACCGCCGTGATAAATTTTAACCTAAATTTAATGTTTTCTATTCGAATGATATCCGTGTAAAATCGACAAAGATAAATTTATGACAAAGAATAGTTAGAGGCAACTAACACGTTTGGGAAAGTAGAAGCAGTGTGTCACAAGATCACCTTATCTCACAGTGGGAACTGTGAATACTAAAGTCGCTGAAGCGTTAAGAGAAAAAAAAATAGCTGGCACTCCCGACCGTGTTGTCCGTTTTAGGTGATAGTTCGGCGGATATTTTGTCACGATAGACGCGTGGAACTTGCTTTCAACACTCGAGACTCACTTGGAATGAGCCAAAGTCGCGAAGAATACGAAGCTACTTGCACGATTCGAATTGCTGCTCGCCAATCGTCTCTTAACCGACTGTTAGAGAGCGGCGCTTATGATGCGCAGAACATTCAATGAAACGCGCGGCACTTCACTCAAAATTCCCGACGAGCCGTTTCGCCAGACTTTCAGTCTACTGTCGCTTCAACGATGTTTTGTTATGATAAACGCACAGGATTTTTTTCTGAGATTTTCGGAGATTATTCGCGTATCAGATTCTCCTTCATCAAGTCGAAAATGTAAAACGAGGAGATTTAATCCCGAAGTCCCGCGCGTGACAAGAACGCGACGTTACGTTCGACACGTCTAACGGCTAGCTCGCGAAATATTCGCTTTTGACGATTGTTTCACGTTAAGTTTAAATAGCAAACACGCCAAGCTTAATTTCGGCATTTTTAGTGACGATAAATCAGGAGGGAGACTCACCTCTAACAAGTCAAAATTGCGAGAAATGCGGGACGACTTCCCGAGCCTGCTATCTGCGTTGCGATCTGTTCGGAAAGAGAACATGGCGGCAGTTGCAATTCTCGATTGTAGAGGTCGGTTCTGGAGCATCGATTGTAGAGCGTCGAGATACGTTCGACTCGAGGTGACAACTACGATTTATTTATTCATTATTTATTTATTTTTATATAAGCAATAAGATATATAATGAAATTAAAAGATACAATCATTGATCATCACGTACCTTAATTATTACGTTGAAACGAGAGATTTATTCTTTTGTATTTTTTATATTTATTTGCATATCTTTCTTTTTCCTTTTCTTTTCCATCAGACCTCGGATATATATTCATTTAACTTTTAGAATATAGAGAATATGAAATTTTTCTCGATTATTTTAAAAATTCACTGCATTTGATGAAATTTGACATACTATGCAAGTTATGCGTTTACCAGGTGTATACCTATGAAATGCGGATTTACCTAACAGATAGTGCTACATATACGTTCTTACGCGTGATGATTTGACATATATAGTATTTTATTTGGCTATTTCTAATCTACAAAACCATACATGTGAAAAATTGTGAGAGTGTAAATATCATAGTCTTTTTCTGCTTTGAAAATGTCGAATTTCGTACCAAAAAAGACCATTTGCGGGAGGTTTTGATTCATTACTTCATTTTCAGAAAACTGCTGCTCAAACTTATCGAATACTTGTAGAAGATTACGAACATGCACCATCTCAAGACACTTGTGAACGTTGGTTCAATCAATTCAAAACTGATGATTTTGATGTGAAAGACAAGGCTAAGGAAAAACCACCGAAAAAATTTGAAGATGCAGTGTTGCAAGCATTGTTGGACGAAGACTCCACTCTAACTCAATCACAATTGGCGGAAATATTAAATGTGACTCAAAAAAAGTGTTAGCGAGCGTTTGCACGCGATGAGAAAGATTCAAAAAGAAGGAAAATGAGTATCACACGATTTGACTGAAAGACAGATGGAGAATCGAAAAGTTACCAGCGAACTGCTAAAAAGACATCAACGGAAGAGTTTTCTGTATCGAATCGTCACAGGTGATGAAAAATAGATATATTTCGAGAATCCTAAACGAAGAAAATCATGGGTTGATCCAGGCCAACCATCAACATCGACTGCAAGACCAAATCGCTTCGAAAAGAAGACAATGCTCTGTGTTTGATGGGATCAAAAGGGTGTTGTTTATTATGAACTTCTCAAATCTAATGAAACGGTTAATGCTGCTCGCTACCGACAATAAATGATCAATTTGAACTATGCATTGACCACAAAACGTCCGGAATGGGCCCAAAGACATGGAAGTGATTTTGCTACATGATAATGCGCCGGTCTACACCACAAAAATTGTCAAGGAAACTTTAAAAGAATTGAATTGGGATGTGCTACTTCACCCGCCGTATTCGCCGGACATTGCTCCTTCGGGCTATTACTTGTTCCGGTCGATGGCGCACGGATTGGCTGAGCAGCACTTCGCTAATTTCGAAGAAGTGAAAAAATGGATCGATTCATGGTTTACTTCGAAAGATGAAAGTTTCTATCGTCGCGGAATTCATCTTTTGCCAAAAAGATGGGAAAAAGTTGTAGCGTCGAATAGCGCATACTTCAAATAAATAGCTTTAACCATTCACTTCAAATTAACATGTTTTTCCTTAAAAAAATCCGCATTTCATAGGTATACACCTGGTAAAATGAATTTCACATATAAACAAGTGCCAGGAATGGCACAGGAGTGCCAATGTCGAATGGAGTGATAGATGTAAATTTTAATTTAACAATTGACTCATGCAAACATCATTAAGCATTAATCTATGGAAATAATTTTAATATGTTGTTTTATTGTTATGATAAAATACATGTGTAGCACAATAAGGGACATTTTATGATAACAGAATTTCTTAATGAAATTTCTATTGTGATTAAAAGAAAGTATTTCATGAATCATTGTCTCATTTTGAACAAAGGTATTTATTATAAGAACCTGATTCGTTATCAACATATTTGTTGATTATATAGTTACATACCAACAATACATTAAGAAACTTAAGCTTAAGGAATATTAGCGAGATAATCTTTAACGTTAGAAGGATCTAATTTTCTGAAGCCATTCGCGTCGCAAATGCCGACTTCGATATTATCCGCGGTCATCTGACCCTCAAATCCTTCTTTCAGCGTCAGAATGGCAGTGTGAACGGCGTCATCCAACTCCAGATCTTCACTGTACCTCTTTTCGAGGAATGTTTTGCCATTGATGAAGTTTTTACCCATAGCAGTTGCCTTCCATGCAAAGTATGTGCCAGAAGGATCGCATTGGAATAAATAAGGTCTATCGTTGTCCCAACCACAGATCAGAAGAGACACCCCAAAAGGTCTGACACCTCTGTAAGTTCAAAATGATTTTATATTAGTTTTAATTTTATTAATCTCATTGGATTTGTCTTCCAAATTGGAGCCATGTTCTCTGTGGATTTATTTTGTGAACTTAATTTAATTTGAAATTTGTAATATATAGAGAAATGCTCAATTTAGCTTCTGGATTATAGTTTCATTTTTTATAAGTTTGCTTCCAATATTTTGTAAACATGTCACTTCACTTTATATGAGAAAAAGAGTAATTTGATACAGAAGACATGTTACAATATCAGATTGCTTTTCTCCTTAATAAAGTAAACTAAAATATTCATGAAACATTGGAAATAAATCTATAAAAGATGCAATTGTAATCATTTGTTTATAATAAATGCAATTGCAGAAGCTAAATTCCTCTATACCATAAAAGTCTCAAAATTAAAATCACCTATCAAATTAAATATCTTCACAAATCTTTTAATATGTACTCAACTGTTCATATAATTAAAATTTGACACAATAGAAAAAGAAATACAATGTTATGATCAGAACTTAATTAATGCTCACCCAGATTGTGTATATTCCTGCATAACCATCGCAACTCGTTGTACAAGTTGTGCAGTAGGAATGGGTTCTCGATAGACCAGAAGATACTGCTGTGCCATCTTCCTAGCTTGCTTTACTAATAATCTGTAATCTGGCCCCATGCCACTGTAGACCATACCGATATGCTTGGTGATCATTTCAACCTTACTGACGCTATGTTCATCATAAAGGATGGACTTATGCTTGTTCTCAGTAGCGAGGACAACGCCATTCAACGCCTTGATGCCTACACTCGGCGCACCGGCTGCTACCGCCGCCAAAGCATATTCTATCTGCACCAATTTGCCCGACGGGCTATAAAACACAGTTTCATTATTTCATCTTTGACACCTTTCTTCCACTTTTTGATTAAACACGCTTGCACTATATAGAATTTGACGAGTCATTCTGTCATAGATGTAATACGACATTACGCGGTTCTTAAGTAAAATATACTTATAATTGTTTATGTATTTATAAGAAAACAATGACATTAATTAAATAATATTGATTCATTTCGAGATTTTCACTCGTCATGGTTACAGAAAATGCTGAATGAGCCTGGCTTAGAGGTTAGGTTGTTATTAGATCGATTTTCCACAACTCCCAATTTCTTTTGCAAATGTGAGACACTGACGTGGATTGAAACATTCTCTGCTTGACTGATTTTACAACTGCAGACATATTTACCTAAAAGTCGTCAATGAAAAACTGTATCGTTCCGAAGCCATGACAATTACTTTGTAGCGGTACAGGCAGCGACACGCACACTACAAATATCGTGATGTTTGGCGTCTGACAGAGAGCTACGCTTGCATAAGAAATGTTTCTGGCTGTTTCAAAATTCTATGGATTAAGGATTGCAATCGGACCAATCAGGTAAAGCAGAACTAAAATTTAGATTACCTGATTGGTCCGAGAGCAATCTCAATCCATAGTCTAGGCTGATTCCCACTGAGCGCGTCGCCTCGTCTGCCTGCGTCACGAGTTAACCAATCAAATCGTTCCATTGGAATAAGTGCGTCGTACGTCGCGTGCGCGTCATTCCAATTAAAGGATTTGATTGGTTAACTTGTGACGCAGGCAGACGATGCAGCATGCAGCATGCAGCAGAATAGCGGAGCATGGAACAAGAGCAGAACCAATCACGAGCGTTCCGTAATTTTTGTTGCACGGATTTTCAATCCCTACTAAGCACGCATGGAGCGGAATAAACGTAAAGGCTGTGGCACACAGAAAAACTTAAGCAGTAATGGCTCCTGCACACAGGACGCAGTAATACCTGCCGCGCGGCGGAAGTTCTCGCGACAGCCAATCAATATACTGCTTTCCGTAATAACTTACAATAGAAGTCGTAAAGTCGTGAAGAGTTGTAAGTCATAGAAATTGACCAATCACGGTCGATTATTCTTCTCAAGCCCAACTATGATTGGTCAATTTCTACGACTTACAACTCTTTACGCCTTTACGACTTCTATTGTAGACGAGCCTTTAAAGACACGATCCAACCTAATCTCTAACGCTCGCGCTGCACCGAGAAACCGACCAATAGTGTGTCTTATGTAGAAATGTGGCGTCTTTGTGTAAAATTCAAACTACCTTGAGATTTTTCAATCGATCATCAATTTTCAGATCTCGAAATAAAGGAAGACTCCGCAATTAACTGACGTATGTCGCATTTCGCATTCTCGACGAACGCAATTACGCAACAGAAATCGAATGACAGCATGATATGACGAATACTTTCCGAATTCCTTCATTCACGTGCTATATTGGAACGCGAAGATTAATCGAGTTGAAAGTATGATCGACGGTCATTGACAGATAAGAAAGCAAGAAAAATGGTTGGCGACGCGACGCAAAATCAAATAGACACAGAGATCACTGCATGGATCGATTCTATCTCCCTTTCAAAACCTGCAAAAAATCTCACGAAAGATTTCTCGGATGCAGGTAATTTAGTCAATATTCGTTTTATTTCACTGGGGGACTTGTATTTTATTTTATTGACAAGTCAAATCACGTATCACCGATAGTTCTTGTAGCGGAGGTGCTGAAATTATACTATCCACGGTACGTCGAGCTGCACAATTATGTGCCGGCGAGCAACTTGAACATGAAAATCGAAAATTGGAACACATTGAATCGTAAAGTGCTCACGAAGATCGACATGAAGCTAGATAAGAACACGATCTGTCATTTGGCGAACGGCTCTCTAGACGTGATCGCAAAACTTCTATTAGAATTGAGGACAAAGGTCCTGAAGGACGATGAGAAGCAGCACAAGCAGAAACTCATGAAGCATAACATAGAAAACACTGACATACTGCTGACAAGTAATCAGGTTTACTTTTTGTTTCCAATCCAGTAAACATTAACAATAGCCTGATGTAACAATAACATTAAGTTTGTTGTCTATTACTGAACTGGTTACACTATAGTTTACACTAAATGTTTTCATTTTCTTCATCAAGTTTTAATAATTGTTTCTTTTTAACTTCTGTAAGTCTTAATTCAGCTATAAAGAGTAGATCTGTTACATAAATATTGTAATTTCCCATTCAATAATATATGAATATAACTTGTTTGATATGCAACAATTATATTGTAACAAATTGTAACAATGGCTATGTTCAGCAGAGAAAGCTGCTCTTGTAAACTCATGAATCATGTATATGCTTTTAGATTCAGTTAAGATTAAGAACACATATCAGTTAGATTTACGAGTTTTACAACAGTTGCAAAGCAGCTTTCTCTATTGGCTGCAGCTGCTGATGCAATGTTACTGTTGGTGTTTACTGGGAGATAATTTCTATTATTTGTTTCTAAAAGAACTGCATTTTTGTAGATGAAAAAATCGGAGATAACTCGCCGCGCGATAAACTTAATTTGCCAGAGAAGAGCTCTGACAAATTCAAGACCAATAATGAAATTTGTCAATCTGATCCAACTCCAAAAGTTGGACGTTTCAGGCGGGCGATTTCCGTGATCTTCGGTTGGATTGCTTTCCTTTTTTTTTGGAATATTTTCAACTGTCACGGGCTTCCTCGTTTTAGCAAACAATCCCGTGAGTATATTTGACGTATAAACGAACTGATTTATGAGCATCATTAATTAGAATTAATTAATTCTAAACGTATTCCCGGAAGGAGACACACTTGTAGACGTCGCAATTCAGCAATGTAAAAACGACGGAACTGTGTCGTGTACAATTTACGAGAAAATAAAAAAAGAATTACACGAGAAAGAGGAGATAATATGCACCTTAAATCACAAGATCGCCTATCTAGAGAGCTCGATAAAGCTCAAAGATCTACGTATCTCCAGCCTAACTGCGCAAATCTTGCAGAATGCAGTCGAAATGGATTGTTCGGCTGCGAAATCTCAGTCTGGCGACGGTACCCGGATGAAGTTACGCTCGCGATCGCACAATCTTCACGAAACTAAAGCGAATTAGTGATGTTAAAAATATCCTCTTTTCTCTACACTCTCGGAAAACATATGTTTAAAATGAAAAATATAAAATCTTTCCTCCATTACATGTTAAGAAGTTTGAAATTGCAAATTAGTATGTATCGTGTTTAACTTCTGTCGTCGTGTCATAATTAACAAAATGACTTTTAACTTGAATTAAGACATGTGAAAATTAAATATGGACAAATAAAATTTAGATGTCAATATTCTAGCTAATTAGTTAATTGGTCAGTTATTTTCTGTGTAAATAAATTGCTAACGAACATGTTGGTTAAACAAAATTTCTGGAGTTTTAATGGAGCGGAAGTTTAATCTATTGTGATTTTTCGAGATAAGCGCCGATTCATTCTGTTCTAATTACTTCTAATGAGAAGAATGTATATGGTTAGTTAAGAAGCAATCAATTTCTTTAGTTAAAAGAAGATTCCGTAAAACGGATATATGTTTTAACGTAACGCTTTTCAACATTCTCCTTCATATGTCTTTATATATTTGAAAAATACATATTTTATTCTATTATATTTAAAAATTCTATGTAAATGATTAATTGTTTAATTGTATGTAGATGTTTAAAAAGTATTATACATAAATATTTGCTGAACCATGTTACAGGTGCAATCCCAAAAAGATAAAGAACAAAACTAGTAATCAGACTAGTAATCAGTCAAAACTAGTAATCAGACGCCAATGGGCATCTAGACAAGGATATGCTTTCTTTCTAGATGCAACATTGGGTATCTAAAGCTGCGCGTCTCAAGGCTACTTCTTCATCTTTCTTTGCTGCGAAAGGTGGGGGATTTTCTCGTCGCTTTGTATTATGGACCTCGAAGAAAAAGTCAGTAGCTGTTTAACTCTCGCATCTTAAATAACGGCACATGAAGCACAGATAAGAAATGAACATCCTGCCGCGACGAATGTGAGTATAATTATGCGAATTCTATTAACGCATTCTTCCATAGTTTACCGTTATTGCGCGGTACATTTACCCGGGAATCGTTGCTCCATGACGTTTGAGCTAAAACTTATACAAGGACGGATCTTTTTTTTACTCATTTCGCTTGAATAGTCTTACTATATATACACGCTCTCCAAAGTATACAACTTAAATCAAACGTATCTTTGAGCAAGTTAGAGCTCAACTTAATGTCGGAGCGAATATTATAGTGGCGAGGTTCAGGTTAGACTCCTGGCTGAAATGGTATTTCTCGCAACTACAATTTGAAATAGAAATATGACTAATATATCTCGGTTTAATTAAAGGAATTAATTAATATTAATATTAAAAAATTGGGATTCAGGGTCAGTTTGATATAGCAAGTTGCCTTATTGCGTACGTTATAAACACTGAAAAATCTATCCGCGCTGACACTGTCAAACATTATTATCCTCTTAACATCCTAGATAACATAGAGAATTTAAGAAGAATTCAGTCGTATGTCACCAATTCTGAATTCATTTTTAGATGCAAAAAAAATTCTTTTCACTAAACTGAACTCTGAAGAATTTTTTGTGCATCTGAAAATAAACTCAGAATTGATGACATACGATTAAATTCTTTTTTAATTTTTTTTAAATTCTTTGTGCTATCTGGGATTTGGTTTAAATAATCGCTCAAATATTTACGCTAAGCTCTTGTTCAAAAATATGTTTGATTTAAATTGAATAGTGTTAATTAGGGCGACAATAAAATTGTGAAGATATATTATAAGCGAGTGTCGCCTACAGTAGAACTGCCTATGTAAAAGACGACTGAGACATCCTAAAAGAACAAGTCATGATCGCTAAGCTGATCCGGTAAACCAGGATCAGAAGGTGGGAGAAGAAGCCTCACGAGGGGGAAGTCGAGTTCGTCCAAGTGGGCCGCTTTCAGTATTAAAGTTCCACAAGTGATTGTTAGACAGTTCTGCTGTACAGCGCGCGCAGTAAGCTTGTTTAATTTTCTTAAATAATCTTCTGATATTGGGAGAGAGAGAGAAAATTATATAAAACTAACATATAGATTTTTTCATGTCGAGATATATTAATGAACGTAGGAGGTCATGTATGTCGAATACAAGTGTTTGTTGCACGAGTGAATTCGCGCGAAGAAAACCGGTTTGATCAACTGACATTAATACTGCGATACAATAACGTTGACATAGTTCGGCGATATTGAAACAAACCAATAAGTTAATGAACAAAATTAATAACTGATTAATTTTGAGCTAATGAGTTAATTAATGGATTAATGGATTTTTGTTAAACATACTGTTATTTGCGAAAACCTGTTTCTCCACACCGTGCCAGCAGGTAAAGCTGTTCTTCCGGTTTTTAATTTGGCTTCGAGCGGAGGTGAAGTGCATTTCATGGGATACCGCGATTGCTGCTGACGATGAACGGCGTGTATGGTCAACGACCCTCGTTCGACCGGTGAATTGGACGTCACACTTTCGCGCTATCTTCTCGCCGAGTTAGAAAACTGCAAAAGTGTGAAGACGCATCGGCCCGCGGCATAGAGAACCCCGAGAAAACCTGACGTTCTCCTTTCCGGAGCTGACCCGGCGAATATATAATACGATCCACTCGTTTGCGAATCAATTCGGAATTCTGTCTTCCCCCCCTCTCTCTCTCTCTCTCTCTCTATATATATATATATATATATATATATATATATATATATATATAATTATTTTAGTTATTAAATCAATTTTAAGATAAATTTAAAGTTAATTTTCAATTTTAATCAGTCGAAAGACTGATTTTAGACGTCGTGGCGTCCCCATCTTCTTCGCCGTTGCTTCAGCGAAAAATGATACATATTCGTATAATTAACGTTGAGTTTTAGCGTGCTATGCTAATTACGTTGTTGCTTTTTTTGTTTATAGATAACATGATATTAAACATCTCTTGTACGACGTTGCTTTGCTTGGCTGCGGGCACTGTAGTAGGAGGTGCCGTCTTACTCTTCTTGGGCCTTTATCTCTATATTTCTTTCACCCGGGGAGTCTGCAAGAGCAAAACCAGAATGGATGGAAAAACTGTAATAATTACCGGATGTACCTCCGGCATCGGCAAGGAGACTGCGAAGAACCTTGCCAAGAGAGGCGCGAAAGTTATCATGGCCTGCAGAAATACGGACAATGCTAATCAGCTGAAAGGTTTTACTTCTAATACGACAATTCTAATAATAACGTTGGATACGCATGCTTGTTATACAAGCATGAATACAAGAAAATCATTATGTATTTTTTCTTATATTTCCGAGTATCACTGTTACCACGAAGCTGTGAAGTTTACTTGGATATGTTCTTGTAAAATTATACAGATTTACGTAATTAAAAGAATTAAAGATTCATGATTTCATTACACGTAATCCAGTTCATGCAAACTAGTTATATAAAAACTAACTGTGTCACGCTTGTATTCTATCTTCCTTCAACATGTAGTGAGCGAATGATACTTTTAGCATAAAAGCGTGCAAGACGAATTTGGTCCGTAGACTATAATTATTATGCCATGTGTTGTTTGTCATAACAAATAACATATTATATAATAATTATAATTATCAAATCGTAATTAGTAACTATAACGCAAGAAAGTAATAATGTTAATAAAGTAAATAATGTTAATATTCCATAAAAAGTGAACTTTACTCACAGTATAAACCAGTAATCCGCACGCATTTTTCCAATTAAAATATCGTTCTTTCTTAATCTCGATATTAAAGAAATATTCGATACAAAACAATATGCTACGAGTTTTTATATGCAAGACATTTTTATTATTGTGTGAGACTTATTTCAGTGTAACTGACATATAATTCTTTTCTGCTCAGACGAAATTATAAAAGAAACGAGCAACAGTAATATCGTGGTCCGCAAGTTGGATTTGTCATCATTGCAATCGATCAGGGAGTTTGCACGCCAGATCAATAGAGAGGAATCCAGATTGGATGTGTTGATTCACAACGCCGGCACCGCGGAGACCTTCCGGAAGAGGCTCACGGAAGATGGATTGGAAATGACTATGGGCACCAATCACTTTGGACCATTTTTATTGACTCATCTCTTAATCGGTAAGAAATCAAAATATTAGACTCCTGGCTAAAGTGGTATATTTTTTAACACTCTTAAAGGAGAATCAAATATAATATTATAAATTAATGCATTAAAATATAAAATAGAAAAAAATTAAAAATTAAATTAGAATTGAAGGATATCAATATGAATATTATAGAAGAATTAGGAAATATAAAAAAAATTGAAAAAATATATTTTATATATATATATATATATATATATATATATATATATATAAGTTATCATGGCCTGCAGAAATACGGACAATGCTAATCAGCTGAAAGGTTTTACTTCTAATACGACAATTCTAATAATAACGTTGAATACGCATGCTTGTTATACAAGCATGAATACAAGAAAATCATTATGTATTTTTTCTTATATTTCCGAGTATCACTGTTACCACGAAGCTGTGAAGTTTACTTGGATATGTTCTTGTAAAATTATACAGATTTACGCTATTAAGATATATATATATATATATATATATATAAATGTATTAATATTTTTTTTTGCCCTTATGTGTGTATGATAAAATCAATAAATAGCCGTAAAATTAACATGACAACCTTCCTTTTTAACTTTTAATCTTTTCTTATGATTTTGCTACGTTTATTTTATGGCTATTTTTTGACTATAAAGAGAAAGGGATAGTTTTCAGAATATTTTACAAATATGTTTAAATAATTTTTAATGTTCTTTCATATGAACATCTTTTTATTTGGGAATAGCATGCATGAATTTTCAGCGTATCATTTCTCGCTTCTGACATTATAATCCAATATGGCTGCATACAGGAATCTATTGAAATTATCTAATTTGAGATATAAATATTGAATGCGTTTATACGCATACGCATATGTACTCATGTGGTATAATGCGGTTATTAGCGTTAGATAAATGTAACTCAGTTTTTTCATAGCTTACCTAAGGCCTTGAAATAGATGAGTTCATTATTATGCGTTGATTTCCTTGTTGACGCGAAGTCCAATCCAATTAATTTATAGTCGCGAACGACTGCTATATTATCTAACAATTATTATAATGCTTTTATTTATAAAATACTTTATTTACATTATTATTATAATATTTCAAGTGGTAAATGCATTAAAACGTAAAATGCAAAAATTATAAAATTTTAATTACATCGAAATGTAAAATTTTCACCAAATGTAAGTTTTACCAAGATAAACGAGGAAAATTTATTCATTCGTTGAAAAAAATGTTCGATATTCATGACAATTTAATTACATAGTGAAATAATTATAATCAATCTATTTTCTTAGTAAGTGCAATGTTAATAATTATAATTATATATATTTACATACTGTAAATATATTTACTAATTATATTTACATATTGCTGTTATTAATTTTTTATTTAAACCACGATATTGCCAAGGAAAGCTATAATCTTAACGAGATTGAGCACTATTTATATTTTATATTCTTTCTTTTCTTACAGACTTACTGAAACGGTCGAAGCCGAGTCGTGTCGTGGTCGTCGCGTCGGAGCTGTATCGATTAGCGCGCTTAAATCTCAACAATATCAATCCTACATCGACTTTTCCAGCGTATTTGTATTACGTGTCAAAGTACGCGAACATAGTTTTTACGTTGGAATTGGCGCGACGGCTAGAAGGCACCGGAGTGATGGCAAATTGCTTACATCCTGGATTGGTAGACAGCGGAATCTGGCGAAGCGTGCCTGCCCCGTTATCCTGGTGCCTGAATCTCCTGATCAAGACCTTCTTCAAGACACCCAAGCAAGGCGCGCAGACGACTATTCATCTTGCCGTTGCCGAAGAGCTTAACGGCATCTCAGGAAAATACTTTATGGATTGTGCAGTAAGTCACTTTTACTTATGTTATTCTTTTGCAAATCTCGATAAGAGAGGAATTTGAGCGATCATAATTACTTGTGGTCTTTTGAGAAATCTGTAGGAAATTTTATATAAATATATTTTAGGAATTTATACTCTCTCTCTCTCTCTCTCTCTCTCTCTCTCTCTCTCTCTCT